TATTCCATTTGCAAAAGCCGAAAAAAAACATTTTCTTGTAAATAAACTCAAAATTTGTTTGGCTCACTTAATTTCAAACATTTTTCCTTTTGTTTTGAAAAATTATAAAACTTAAATTNTGAGCCAATAATTTCAAACATTTTTCCTTTTGTTTTGAAAAATTATAAAACTTAAATTGAGCGAAATCAAAAGGCAAAGCCAAATAAAAGTAAAAGAATCAACATTGAACTGCGTCAAAATGAAAATAAGGGAGCACGAATTTCGATGTGAAGCGAAACTCTCTAGGAAGACAATACCTGTAATTATTGTACGATGGTTTGAAACCTACTTTTTTATTTAAAGTGGCGCTTTACTCTTTGACCGCAGGATTTATTTTGAAAGACTTTGTGATTCCAAGATATGATTGATTCCAAAAAATATTAAACGATTCAATGCAATGTAGAATAAAAATATGGGTAACAAATGCAATAGGAAATTTCTTTAGAATTTAGAAAATTTAAATTTTTTTGGACGAATAGGTAATTTTAAGCTGACCAAGTTAGAATAACGAAATTCGAACAAATATTGCGACATTTCAAGGAAAAAAATTTAAAATGACATTTTCAATATTTACCAGCCCTTCTGCACTAGAAACTTGAATATGTTTAAATTCTACAGAATTTCCTCATTAATTTTATACCCATACTTCTTCTCTAAGCACATTTCTCTGATTTTTTTAAAATCATTTTTGAATTACGGACGTCAGAGTGAAAAACTAAAAACGCAAGTTTACTATATTTGGCCCATGGTTTCGCGAATATATTGATATTTGTGTTTAAAATTTACTATCGCGCGGTGTTATATGTACAATGAGCTAGATTAAAAAAAAAATATAAATTATTAAATAAAAAATGAAATATAGCCAATACTGGTCAAGAAAAGAAGTTTCTATTATTGCCATCAGTGTAAATTACAAATCCCCAAAATCCCAGGATTACTTGCCAAGAATCCTGGGATTTTCGAGACCTTAAAAAGTCTGGGATCCCGAGATTAACATTCCTATAATGTACATACATATCGCGCGGTGTTATATGTACAATGAGCTAGATTAAAAAAAAAATATTAATTATTAAATAAAAAATGAAATATAGCCAATACTGGTCAAGAAAAGGAGCTTCTATTATTGCCATCAGTGCAAATTACAAATCCCGAAAATTCCGAGATTAACATTCCTATAATGTACATACATATATTGGTTATGAGACAAACTAGATGTTTAACGTAAGTTTCACTTCTCCAGTGTGTCCCAGGTGCACTTACTTTTTCTTATAAAAGTCTGGAACATTACATAACCAGACAAAAATTATAAAAATTCAAAGAACTTTAATAATTGCACCCAAAAAATTTAGGTAAGCAGTTTTATAGCCTATTCAATTTTAGGTAAGCAGTTTTATAGCCTATTAAATTTTAGTAGGCTAAAGTGCGAATTTCAAGACGCCCGAAAACGCGTTAATTTTTAATCTTTTTTTGCTGTCGATATTGTGCATTTCTTGCATAAAAAAGAAATTGTCGAGCATACTTTTTAAAAAGTTAAAAAATTTTGAATGCAATTGTTATAAGTTTATTGAATTTTTAAAATTTTTGTACGAAGTTGGTGCTGGTTATGTCATGTGCAAGACTTTTATAAAAAAACTATAAACATTAAATAAGCAAAAAAAAGTCAACCCTTCTTAAAAAAATATGTTTCCCCTCAAAAAGTTTATATTTTTATGAAGCTTTAAACTACAGAAATGGCTGGTTAATCGTTAAAATATTGTTTGGAAATCCAATCCAATATTGCAAATACTTATACAGGGTGTCCCAGAAGTAACGTGCCAAACTTTAGGGGAAGGAAGGTGGGGGGTGAGCTCCCTGATAAACAAAAAATTTTCAGGTAAGTCTCACCGTTTTTGAAATATTTAAATTTTTTCGAATTTAAAAAAAATCGTGCCTTTTCATGTGTTTTCTTTAACTGCAACTACAAACCGGGCAATACTTAGTAAATTTTTTATGTAAAATACTTCCAGATAGTTGCCTCTCCATACTCAAATGCAATGTAGTTAAAATATATTAAGGAACCATCATAAAATTAGGACTATTTCTGGATTTTTAACTTTTTGATATTTTCTTCCCCAACTTTGACTATCTCGGGAGAAAAAAAATGTACTGAGCTATAACTTTACATTATATAAAAAAATTGTTCATTTCATAAAGATTTCAGAAACGTGCCACACTTACTGTTTCGAATAGAAAAAACAAGTTATAGCCACTTTTGTGGGTAAAGGACTGAGACACGCTGGAATGTATTTAATAGATTTAAATTGAATTTGCTCTTGTTACCGTCAAATGACATGCTAAATAGTACAAAGGTACATTATTACCTGCTCCTGACATTATTTTGTGTTACTTACCGGAATTAGTGAAAGTGGATTTTGTGAAATTGGACCCTTCGAACATTGTGTTATTAATACTATGACAGAGAACACGCAGTATACGTCGCATGAATATGCGGATATTCACCTAATTTACGGTGAAGCTTGCTGTAATGCCAGAGCTGCTCAAAGACTCTATGCAGAGGGATACCCCAATCGTCGACATCCGGGTCGTGAAGTATTCGCCCGGACCCATAGAGAAATATATGAAGGTAAGTGATTTTTACATCTTTCTTGTTTGCTTGCTTGTTAACTATCATTTTTCACTTTTTTAAGGTCGCATACCTGGAAAGCGTGGCGGCGAAACAGGACGTCCTGCAACGGTAGATGTTGAAGCTGTGTTAGAGAAAGTGGAACTAGGTCCATCGACTTCAGTGAGAATGATGGAAAGACGGACGGGAATACCAAAAACTACAGTTCACAAAGCTTTAAAAGACCATCGATTTCATCCCTACCACATTCAACGTGTTCAGGCTCTACAGGAAAGAGATTACCTGTCGAGGGTTAGATTTTGCCGTGAAATGTTGCGAATGCATGCATCAGACCCCAACTTTTTTAATAAAATAATTTGGAGCGATGTGAAACGTGATGGTTATTTTAATTTACATAACCTTCACAGTTGGCAGATAGACACTCCTCACGAAATGAGAGAAGATCGTTCGCAGTACCGGTACAAAATAAATTTATGGTGCGG